TAGTGAGTAGTGTAGTGAGTAGTGTAGTGTAAAGTGTAGTGAGTAGTGTAGTGAGTAGTGTAGTGTAAAGTGTAGTGAGTAGTGTAGTGAGTAGTGTAGTGTAAAGTGTAGTGAGTAGTGTAGTGAGTAGTGTAGTGTAAAGTGTAGTGAGTAGTGTAAAGTGTAGTGAGTAGTGTAGTGAGTAGTGTAGTGTAAAGTGTAGTGAGTAGTGTAGTGAGTAGTGTAGTGAGTAGTGTAGTGAGTAGTGTAGTGAGTAGTGTAGTGAGTAGTGTAGTGAGTAGTGTAGTGTAAAGTGTAGTGAGTAGTGTAGTGAGTAGTGTAGTGTAAAGTGTAGTGAGTAGTGTAGTGAGTAGTGTAGTGAGTAGTGTAGTGAGTAGTGTAGTGAGTAGTGTATTGTAAAGTGTAGTGAGTAGTGTAGTGAGTAGTGTATTGTAAAGTGTAGTGAGTAGTGTAGTGAGTAGTGTAGTGAGTAGTGTATTGTAAAGTGTAGTGTAAAGTGTAGTGAGTAGTGTAGTGAGTAGTGTAGGTAGGTAGTGAGTAGTAGTGCGTAGTGTAGTGAGTGTAGTGGTAGTGTGAGTAGTGTAGTGAGTAGTGTAGTGAGTAGTGTAGTGTAAGTGTAGTGAGGTAGTGTATGGTAGTGTAAAGTGTAGTGAGTAGTGTAGTGAGTAGTGTAGTGTAAAGTGTAGTGAGTAGTGTAGTGAGTAGTGTAGTGAGTAGTGTAGTGAGTAGTGTAGTGTAAAGTGTAGTGAGTAGTGTAGTGAGTAGTGTAGTGTAAAGTGTAGTGAGTAGTGTAGTGAGTAGTGTAGTGAGTAGTGTAGTGAGTAGTGTAGTGAGTAGTGTAGTGAGTAGTGTAGTGTAAAGTGTAGTGAGTAGTGTAGTGAGTAGTGTAGTGAGTAGTGTAGTGAGTAGTGTAGTGAGCAGGTTAAACGTTGAGATTTTTAAGGACACCACGGAGTGACCAGCCCCACCCCTCCCACCCAGCCCCTCCCCTCCCAGCCCCACCCACCACCCCCAGCCCCACCCCTCCCACCCAGCCCCACCCTTCCCTCCCCTCCCAGCCCCTCCCCTCCCAGCCCCCCCCACCCAGCCCCCCCCCACCCAGCCCCCCCCCACCTTGCTAGCGACGAGCGCTGAGAGTCTCCGCAGGAAGTGGAGGAGCTCCGATCGTCTCCGTTGCGGCTCGTCCCACGTGGGTTCCAGCGCCGAGGCCTTCGAGAAGCCGTCCAGAGCCTCGCCATACAGCTCGCGGTACTGTAGTAGCTACACACAGTGTCACACACAGTGTCACACACAGTGTCACTGTGTGTGTCAGTGTGTGTGTCAGTGTGTGTGTGTCACTGTGGTGTCACTGTGTGTGTGTGTGTCAGTGTGTGTGTGTCAGTGTGTGTGTCAGTGTGTGTGTGTCAGTGTGTGTGTGTCTGTGTGTGTGTGTCAGTGTGTGTGTGTCAGTGTGTGTGTCACGTGGGTTCCAGCGCCGAGGCCTTCGAGAAGCCGTCCAGAGCCTCCCCATACAGCTCGCGGTACTGCAGCAGCTACACACAGTGTCACACACAGTGTCACTGTGTGTGTCAGTGTGTGTGTGTGTCAGTGTGTGTCAGTGTGTGTGTGTGTCAGTGTGTGTGTGTCACTGTGTGTGTCACTGTGTGTGTGTCACTGTGTGTGTGTGTCAGTGTGTGTGTCAGTGTGTGTGTCAGTGTGTGTCAGTGTGTGTGTCAGTGTGTGTGTGTGTGTCAGTGTGTGTGTGTCAGTGTGTGTGTCACGTGGGTTCCAGCGCCGAGGCCTTCGAGAAGCCGTCCAGAGCCTCGCCATACAGCTCGCGGTACTGTAGTAGCTACACACAGTGTCACACACAGTGTCACTGTGTGTGTCAGTGTGTGTGTGTGTCAGTGTGTGTCAGTGTGTGTGTGTGTCAGTGTGTGTGTCACTGTGTGTGTCACTGTGTGTGTGTCACTGTGTGTGTGTCAGTGTGTGTGTCAGTGTGTGTGTGTCAGTGTGTGTGTGTCAGTGTGTGTGTCACGTGGGTTCCAGCGCCGAGGCCTTCGAGAAGCCGTCCAGAGCCTCGCCATACAGCTCGCGGTACTGTAGTAGCTACACACAGTGTCACACACAGTGTCACTGTGTGTGTCAGTGTGTGTGTGTGTCAGTGTGTGTCAGTGTGTGTGTGTGTCAGTGTGTGTGTCACTGTGTGTGTCACTGTGTGTGTGTCACTGTGTGTGTGTCAGTGTGTGTGTCAGTGTGTGTGTGTCAGTGTGTGTGTGTCAGTGTGTGTGTCACGTGGGTTCCAGCGCCGAGGCCTTCGAGGAGCCGTCCAGAGCCTCGCCATACAGCTCGCGGTACTGTAGTAGCTACACACAGTGTCACACACAGTGTCACTGTGTGTGTCAGTGTGTGTGTGTGTCAGTGTGTGTCAGTGTGTGTGTGTGTCAGTGTGTGTGTCACTGTGTGTGTCACTGTGTGTGTGTCACTGTGTGTGTGTCAGTGTGTGTGTCAGTGTGTGTGTCAGTGTGTGTCAGTGTGTGTGTCAGTGTGTGTGTGTGTGTCACTGTGTGTGTGTCAGTGTGTGTGTCAGTGTGTGTGTCAGTGTGTGTCAGTGTGTGTGTCAGTGTGTGTGTGTGTGTCACTGTGTGTGTCACAGTGTGTGTGTCACGTGGGTTCCAGCGCCGAGGCCTTCGAGAAGCCGTCCAGAGCCTCCCCATACAGCTCACGGTACTGCAGCAGCTACACACAGTGTCACACACAGTGTCACTGTGTGTGTCAGTGTGTGTGTCAGTGTGTGTGTGTCACTGTGTGTGTCACTGTGTGTGTGTGTGTCAGTGTGTGTGTGTCAGTGTGTGTGTCAGTGTGTGTGTGTCAGTGTGTGTGTGTCTGTGTGTGTGTGTCAGTGTGTGTGTCACAGTGTGTGTGTCACGTGGGTTCCAGCGCCGAGGCCTTCGAGAAGCCGTCCAGAGCCTCGCCATACAGCTCACGGTACTGCAGCAGCTACACACAGTGTCACACACAGTGTCACTGTGTGTGTCAGTGTGTGTGTCAGTGTGTGTGTGTCACTGTGTGTGTCACTGTGTGTGTGTCACTGTGTGTGTGTGTCAGTGTGTGTGTCAGTGTGTGTGTCAGTGTGTGTCAGTGTGTGTGTCAGTGTGTGTGTGTGTGTCACTGTGTGTGTCACAGTGTGTGTGTCACGTGGGTTCCAGCGCCGAGGCCTTCGAGAAGCCGTCCAGAGCCTCGCCATACAGCTCACGGTACTGCAGCAGCTACACACAGTGTCACACACATTGTGTGTGTGTGTCACTGTATGTGTGTGTCAGTGTGTGTCAGTGTGTGTGTGTGTCAGTGTGTGTGTGTCACTGTGTGTGTCACTGTGTGTGTGTCACTGTGTGTGTGTCACTGTGTGTGTGTGTCAGTGTGTGTGTCAGTGTGTGTGTGTGTCAGTGTGTGTGTCAGTGTGTGTCCGGGTGTGTGTTAGTGTGTGTGTGTGTCAGGGTGTGTGTCAGTGTGTGTGTCACGTGGGTTCCAGCGCCGAGGCCTTCGAGAAGCCGTCCAGAGCCTCCCCATACAGCTCACGGTACTGCAGCAGCTACACACAGTGTCACACACAGTGTCACTGTGTGTGTCAGTGTGTGTGTGTCACTGTGTGTGTCACTGTGTGTGTGTGTGTCAGTGTGTGTGTGTCAGTGTGTGTGTGTCTGTGTGTGTGTGTCAGTGTGTGTGTGTCAGTGTGTGTGTCAGTGTGTGTGTGTCAGTGTGTGTGTGTCTGTGTGTGTGTGTCAGTGTGTGTGTCAGTGTGTGTGTCACGTGGGTTCCAGCGCCGAGGCCTTCGAGAAGCCGTCCAGAGCCTCGCCATACAGCTCACGGTACTGCAGCAGCTACACACAGTGTCACACACAGTGTGTGTGTCACTGTGTGTGTGTGTGTCACAGTGTGTGTGTGTGTCAGTGTGTGTGTCACTGTGTGTGTGTGTGTCACAGTGTGTGTCACAGTGTGTGTCAGTGTGTGTGTGTGTCAGTGTGTGTGTGTGTGTCACTGTGTGTGACACGATGTGTGTGTCACTGTGTGTGTGTGTCACAGTGTGTGTCACAGTGTGTGTCAGTGTGTGTGTGTGTCAGTGTGTGTGTGTGTGTCACTGTGTGTGACACTGTGTGTGTGTCACTGTGTGTGTGTGTCACAGTGTGTGTCAGTGTGTGTGTGTGTCAGTGTGTGTGTGTGTCACTGTGTGTGTGTGTCAGTGTGTGTGTCAGTGTGTGTCACTGTGTGTGTGTCAGTGTGTGTGTGTCACTGTGTGTGTGTGTGTCAGTGTGTGTGTGTGTCAGTGTGTGTGTTACTCATAGTAGTGTAGTGTATACTATAGTGTATAGTAGTGTAGAGTGTAGTGTATAGTGTAGTGTAGAGTGTAGTGTATAGTAGTGTAGTGTATAGTGTAGTGTATAGTGTATAGTAGTGTAGTGTATAGTAGTGTAGTGTATAGTAGTGTAGTGTATAGTATAGTGTATAGTAGTGTAGTGTATAGTGTAGTGTATAGTGTATAGTAGTATATAGTGTATAGTGTAGTGTATAGTAGTGTAGTGTATAGTGTAGTGTATAGTGTATAGTAGTATATAGTGTATAGTGTAGTGTATAGTGTAGTGTATAGTGTATAGTAGTATATAGTGTATAGTGTAGTGTATAGTGTATAGCGCAGTGTATATAATGATCATTGAGACAGACACGGATGTATGTCACTCACGAGGGGTTGACAGGCCGGGTATCACCGAGCGTGGCACCCCAAAGACACTCACCTCTCCACCCTCACCCCACCCCTCACCCCCCACCCCTCACCACCCCTCACCACCCCTCACCACCCCTCACCACCCCTCACCACCCCTCACCACCCCTCACCACCCCTCACCACCCCTCACCACCGCTCACCGTTGCTCGGTTCAGGTGCAGGTCCGCGTTGCTGCTCGCCGTAGTGTCGACTTTCTCCTGCAAAGGCAGAGACGGAGGGTGGGTGGTGGGTGGGGTGGGTGGGGTGGGTGGGGTGGTGGGTGGGGTGGTGGGGTAGGTGGTGGGGTGGGTGAGTTGGTGGGGTGGGTGGTGGTGAGTGGTGGGGTGGGTGGTGGTGTGGGGGGGTGGTGTGGGTGGGGTGGTGGGGTAGGGTGGGTGGTGGGGTGGGGTTCGAACCCAGCCTCCCAGTGTCTCTGACACGGCCATCGTGAACCCCCTGAGAGAGAGAGAGAGAGACACCCAGACCCAGGGCTTGAACCCAGCCTCTCAGTGTCTCTGACACGGCCATCGTGAACCCCCTGAGAGAGAGAGAGAGAGACACCCAGACCCAGGGCTTGAACCCAGCCTCTCAGTGTCTCTGACACGGCCATCGTGAACCCCCTGAGAGAGAGAGAGACACCCAGACCCAGGGCTTGAACCCAGACTCTCAGTGTCTCTGACACGGCCATCGTGAACCCCCTGAGAGAGAGAGAGAGACACCCAGACCCAGGGCTTGAACCCAGCCTCTCAGCGTCTCTGACACGGCCATCGTGAACCCCCTGAGAGAGAGACACCCAGACCCAGGGCTTGAACCCAGACTCTCAGTGTCTCCGACACGGCCATTATGAACCCCCTGAGAGACACCCAGACCCAGGGCTTGAACCCAGACTCTCAGTATCTCTGACACGGCCATCGTGAACCCCCTGAGAGAGAGAGACACCCAGACCCAGGGCTTGAACCCAGGTGTCTCTGACACGGCCATCGTGAACCCCCTGAGAGAGAGAGAGAGAGACACCCAGACCCAGGGCTTGAACCCAGCCTCTCAGTGTCTCTAACACGGCCATCGTGAAGCCCCTGAGAGAGAGAGAGAGACACCCAGACCCAGGGCTTGAACCCAGGTGTCTCAGTGTCTCTGACACGGCCATCGTGAACCCCCTGAGAGAGAGAGACACCCAGACCCAGGGCTTGAACCCAGCCTCTCAGTGTCTCTGACACGGCCATCGTGAACCCCCTGAGAGAGAGAGACACTCAGACCCAGGGCTTGAACCCAGCCTCTCCGTGTCTGCGTTGGGCGAGGTCTCACCGCCTGTGCGTAAGCGTTGAGCGACAGCTGCAAGATGCGTGGGTCCTGGGCCGTCACGAAGAAGAGAGAGAAGTACGCGTTGCCCAAGATGTCTGGAGCGGAGCAGACATGACGTCACATGATGGCATCACATGACAGGACATCACATGACATCACATAACAGCACACCGTCACCACCGCCATCGTCACCACATCACACCGCATGACCCAACTGCAAGCACCGCCACCACCGCCACGGCCGCCTGTGCCAGGCTAGGTGCACCTTGAGGCCGCTACGTGAAGTGCCTGCTGGCAGGAGGAGGTCACGGGACAGACCCAGCAGGTGCCGTGCGTTGACTGCTGTACCAGGCTAGGTGCAGGTGGAGGAGGTCATGGGACAGACCCTGCAGGTGCCGTGGGTTGACTGCTGTGCCAGGCTAAGTGCAGGAGGAGGTGGTCACGGGACAGACCCAGCAGGTGCCATGGGTTGACTGCTGTGCCAGGCTAGGTGCAGGAGGAGGTCACGGGACAGACCCAGCAGGTGCCGTGGGTTGACTGCTGTGCCAGGCTAGGTGCAGGAGGAGGTCACGGGACAGACCCAGCAGGTGCCATGGGTTGACTGCTGTGCCAGGCTAGGTGCAGGAGGTCACGGGACAGACCCAGCAGGTGCCGTGGGTTGACTGCTGTGCCAGGCTAGGTGCAGGAGGAGGTCACGGGACAGACCCAGCAGGTGCCGTGGGTTGACTGCTGTGCCAGGCTAGGTGCAGGAGGAGGTCACGGGACAGACCCAGCAGGTGCCATGGGTTGACTGCTGTACCAGGCTAGGTGCAGGAGGTCACGGGACAGACCCAGCAGGTGCCGTGGGTTGACTGCTGTGCCAGGCTAGGTGCAGGAGGATGAGGTCACGGGACAGACCCAGCAGGTGTCGTGGGTTGACTGCTGTGCCAGGCTAGGTGCAGGAGGAGGTCACGGGACAGACCCAGCAGGTGCCTTGGTTTGACTGCTGTGCCAGACTAGGTGCAGGAGGAGGAGGTCACGGAGCAGACCCAGCAGGTGCCGTGGGTTGACTGCTGTGCCAGGCTAGGTGCAGGAGGAGGAGGGCACGGGACAGACCCAGCAGGTGCCGTGGGTTGACTGCTGTGCCAGGCTAGGTGCAGGAGGATGAGGTCACGGGACAGACCCAGCAGGTGCCGTGGGTTGACTGCTGTACCAGGCTAGGTGCAGGTGGAGGAGGTCACGGGACAGACCCAGCAGGTGCCGTGGGTTGACTGCTGTGCCAGGCTAGGTGCAGGAGGAGGTCACGGGACAGACCCAGCAGGTGCCGTGGGTTGACTGCTGTGCCAGGCTAGGTGCAGGAGGAGGTCACGGGACAGACCCAGCAGGTGCCGTGGGTTGATTGCTGTGCCAGGCTAGGTGCAGGAGGAGGTCACGGGACAGACCCAGCAGGTGACGTGGGTTGACTGCTGTGCCAGGCTAGGTGCAGGAGGAGGAGGTCACGGGACAGACCCAGCAGGTGCCGTGGGTTGTGGCTGACTGAGATGACCGGTAGATGCACCACCAGCTGTACCCCCCTACCCACATCACGACACACTCACCCACCCTCACCACCACCCACCCTCACCACCACCCACCCTCCCCCCACCCACCCACACCACCACCCTCACCACCACCCACCCACTACCCTCACCAACACCCACCCTCACCCACCCACCCTCACCACCACCCTCCCTCACCCACCTACCCACTCTCACCACCCACCCACCACCCACCCACCCTACCCCACCCACCCCCACCACCCACCCTCACCCCACCACCCACCCTCACCACCCACCCACCCTCCCCCACCCTCCCCCCACCACCACCACCACCCACCCACCCTCCGTCACCCACCCACCCACCACCCACTCACCCTCCCCCCACCACCCACCCACTCTCACCACGCACCCACCCTCCCTCACCCACCCTCACCACCCCCACCCACCTTCACCACCCCCACCCTCACCCCACCACCCCCGTGCCACCCTCACCACACACCCACCACCACCACCACCCTCCCTCACCACCCTCACCACCACCACCCACCCTCCCCCCACCACCCCTCACCACCCTCACCACCCACGCACCCACCCTCACCACCCACCCACCCACCACCCTCACCACCACCCACTCTCATCACCCACCCACCACCCACCCACCCACCCTCACCACCCACCCTCCCCCCACCACCCCTCACCACCCTCACCACCCACGCACCCACCCTCACCACCCACCCACCCACCCACCACCCTCACCACCCACCCACCACCCTCACCACCACCCACTCTCATCACCAACCCTCACCACCCACCCACCCTCACCACCCACCCACCCTCCCCCCACCACCCCCGTGCCACCCTCACCACCCACCCACCGTCACCACCCACCCACCCTCACCTCACCACCCTCACCACCACCCACCCACCCACCACCACCCACCCTCCCCCCACCACCACCCCCCACCACCCCACCCACCACCCCCACCACCCACCCTCCCCCCACCCACCAACCTCACCACCCACCCCCCCACGCTTACACCAAGACGTGCCGTCCCCGGTGTCCATGGCGACGGCGTCCTTGGCGTGCGCCACGCTGTCCATGACGAGACGTGCCGGGTCCTGGCGCTGCTCCGAGTTCGGCTGCTGCCGCAACAGCATGGAGAGGCTACGCAGAGACACCTTGTTCCGGCACTGGGGGGGCGGGTGGAGAGACACAGCGCTGGTGGTGAAGTGTGGTGGTGGTGACGGTGGTGGTGACGGTGGTGGTGGTGACGGTGGTGACGGTGGTGGTGACGGTGGTGACGGTGATGGCAGCAGCAGCAGCAGCAGCATGGAGAGGCTACGCAGAGACACCTTGTTCCGGCACTGGGGGGCGACAGGAGACACAGCGGTGGTGGTGGTCAAGTGTGATGGTAGTGACGGTGGTGGTGGTGGTCAAGTGTGGTGGAGGTGGTGGAGGTGGTGGTGGTGGTCAAGTGTGGTGGTGGTGGTGGTGGTGACGGTGGTCAAGTGTGGTGGAGGTGGTGGAGGTGGTGGTGGTGGTCAAGTGTGGTGGTGGAGGTGGTGGTGGTGGTCAAGTGTGGTGGAGGTGGTGGAGGTGGTGGTGGTGGTAGTGACGCCCGGCCCGCCGCCCGACCCGGCGCTGGCGTGCGTGCGCTCACGTGAGCCAGCGCCCCTTCGAGGCAGCTGGTGGCGGCGGCCACGTCGCCCTTCTTCCAGTAGACGTCCCCCAGCTCGTTCCAGGCGTCCACGAGCGCCGGACGCAGCTTGACGGCGCGGGACAGCGCCGCCTCTGCCTCCGCCTCGTAGTCCGGCACCACGTTGAGGGCGCGGCCTCGCAGGGCCAGGAAGCCCGCTCGGTCGCCAGCACTCGGCTGGGGAGAGGGGGGGGGTAGGGGGGGGGATGAGTGACTGAGTGCGTGGCTGAGCGAGTGAGTGAGTGAGTGCGTGGATGAGCGAGTGAGTGAGTGAGTGCGTGAGTGGATGAGTGGATGAGCGAGTGAGTGACTGAGTGCGTGGATGAGCGAGTGAGTGAGTGAGTGCGTGAGTGGATGAGTGGATGAGCGAGTGAGTGACTGAGTTCGTGGCTGAGCGAGTGAGTGAGTGCGTGGATGAGTGAGTGAGTGCGTGAGTGGATGAGTGGATGAGCGAGTGAGTGACTAAGTGCGTGGATGAGCGAGTGAGTGAGTGAGTGCGTGAGTGGATGAGTGGATGAGCGAGTGAGTGAGTGAGTGCGTGGATGAGTGGATGAGCGAGTGAGTGACTGAGTGCGTGGATGAGTGGATGAGTGACTGAGTGAGTGGATGAGTGGCTGAGCGAGTGAGTGGATGAGCGAGTGAGTGAGTGGATGAGCGAGCGAGTGGATGAGTGAGTGGATGAGCGAGCGAGTGGATGAGTGAGTGGATGAGCGAGCGAGTGAGTGGATGAGTGAGTGAGTGCGGCGTGGATGAGCGAGTAGATGAGTGAGTCACTGGATGAGTGACTGAGTGCGTGGATGAGTGCGTGACTGAGCGATTGAGTGGATGAGCGAGTGAGTGACTGAGTGAGTGGATGAGTGACTGAGCGAGTGCGTGAATGAGTGAGTGAGTGGATGAGCGGACGAGTGAGCGGATGAGTGAGTGGATGAGTGACTGAGTGCGTGGCTGAGCGAATGAGTGGATGAGCGAGTCACTGGATGAGTGAGTGGATGAGTGACTGAGTGCGTGGCTGAGCGAGTGAGTGGATGAGTGACTGAGTGCGTGGCTGAGCGAGTGAGTGGATGAGCGAGTCACTGGATGAGTGAGTGGATGAGTGACTGAGTGCGTGGCTGAGCGAGTGAGTGGATGAGCGAGTCACTGGATGAGTGCGTGGATGAGTGACTGAGTGCATGGCTGAGCGAGTGAGTGGATGAGCGAGTCACTGGATGAGTGAGTGGATGAGTGACTGAGTGCGTGGCTGAGCGAGTGAGTGGATGAGCGAGTCACTGGATGAGTGAGTGGATGAGTGACTGAGTGCGTGGCTGAGCGAGTGAGTGGATGAGCGGGTCACTGGATGAGTGAGTGGATGAGTGACTGAGTGCGTGGCTGAGCGAGTGAGTGGATGAGCGAGTCACTGGATGAGTGAGTGGATGAGTGACTGAGTGCGTGGCTGAGCGAGTGAGTGGATGAGCGAGTCACTGGATGAGTGCGTGGATGAGTGACTGAGTGCATGGCTGAGCGAGTGAGTGGATGAGCGAGTCACTGGATGAGTGAGTGGATGAGTGACTGAGTGCGTGGCTGAGCGAGTGAGTGGATGAGCGAGTCACTGGATGAGTGAGTGGATGAGTGACTGAGTGCGTGGCTGAGCGAGTGAGTGGATGAGCGGGTCACTGGATGAGTGAGTGGATGAGTGACTGAGTACGTGGCTGAGCGAGTGAGTGGATGAGCGAGTCACTGGATGAGTGAGTGGATGAGTGACTGAGTGCGTGGCTGAGCGAGTGAGTGAGTGACTGAGTGTGTGGCTGAGCGAGCGAGTGACTGAGCGAGCGAGTGGATGAATGAGTCACTGGATGAGTGAGTCTCCGAGCTGCTACCGCCGCAAGACACTCACACTCCCCCCCCCACCCCGTCCAGGAGTCGAACCTTCGAGCTCCGCCAGGAGGCTCAGTGCCTCCGTGCGTGGATGAGTGAGCGAGTGAGTGGCTGAGTACGTGACTGAGCGAGTGAGTGGATGAGCGAGTGAGTGGCTGAGTGAGTAGCTGAGTGACTGAGTGAGTGAGTGGCTGAGTGAGTGGCTGCGTGGATGAGTGCGTGACTGAGCGAGTCAGTGAGTGACTGAGTGCGTGGCTGAGCGAGTGAGTGATTGAGTGCGTGACTGAGCGAGTGAGTGCATGGCTGAGCGAGTGAGTGGATGAGCGAGTCACTGGATGAGTGAGTGGATGAGTGACTGAGTGCGTGGCTGAGCGAGTGAGTGGATGAGCGAGTCACTGGATGAGTGCGTGGATGAGTGACTGAGTGCATGGCTGAGCGAGTGAGTGGATGAGCGAGTCACTGGATGAGTGAGTGGATGAGTGACTGAGTGCGTGGCTGAGCGAGTGAGTGGATGAGCGAGTCACTGGATGAGTGAGTGGATGAGTGACTGAGTGCGTGGCTGAGCGAGTGAGTGGATGAGCGAGTCACTGGATGAGTGCGTGGATGAGTGACTGAGTGCATGGCTGAGCGAGTGAGTGGATGAGCGAGTCACTGGATGAGTGAGTGGATGAGTGACTGAGTGCGTGGCTGAGCGAGTGAGTGGATGAGCGAGTCACTGGATGAGTGAGTGGATGAGTGACTGAGTGCGTGGCTGAGCGAGTGAGTGGATGAGCGGGTCACTGGATGAGTGAGTGGATGAGTGGGTCACTGGATGAGTGAGTGGATGAGTGACTGAGTGCGTGGCTGAGCGAGTGAGTGGATGAGCGAGTCACTGGATGAGTGAGTGGATGAGTGACTGAGTGCGTGGCTGAGCGAGTGAGTGAGTGACTGAGTGTGTGGCTGAGCGAGCGAGTGACTGAGCGAGCGAGTGGATGAATGAGTCACTGGATGAGTGAGTCTCCGAGCTGCTACCGCCGCAAGACACTCACACTCCCCCCCCCCACCCCGTCCAGGAGTCGAACCTTCGAGCTCCGCCAGGAGGCTCAGTGCCTCCGTGCGTGGATGAGTGAGCGAGTGAGTGGCTGAGTGCGTGACTGAGCGAGTGAGTGGATGAGCGAGTGAGTGGCTGAGTGAGTAGCTGAGTGACTGAGTGAGTGAGTGGCTGAGTGAGTGGCTGCGTGGATGAGTGCGTGACTGAGCGAGTCAGTGAGTGACTGAGTGCGTGGCTGAGCGAGTGAGTGATTGAGTGCGTGACTGAGCGAGTGAGTGCATGGCTGAGCGAGTGAGTGGATGAGCGAGTCACTGGATGAGTGAGTGGATGAGTGACTGAGTGCGTGGCTGAGCGAGTGAGTGGATGAGCGAGTCACTGGATGAGTGCGTGGATGAGTGACTGAGTGCATGGCTGAGCGAGCGAGTGGATGAGTGAGTGGATGAGCGAGCGAGTGAGTGGATGAGTGAGTGAGTGCGGCGTGGATGAGCGAGTAGATGAGTGAGTCACTGGATGAGTGACTGAGTGCGTGGATGAGTGCGTGACTGAGCGATTGAGTGGATGAGCGAGTGAGTGACTGAGTGAGTGGATGAGTGACTGAGCGAGTGCGTGAATGAGTGAGTGAGTGGATGAGCGGACGAGTGAGCGGATGAGTGAGTGGATGAGTGACTGAGTGCGTGGCTGAGCGAATGAGTGGATGAGCGAGTCACTGGATGAGTGAGTGGATGAGTGACTGAGTGCGTGGCTGAGCGAGTGAGTGGATGAGTGACTGAGTGCGTGGCTGAGCGAGTGAGTGGATGAGCGAGTCACTGGATGAGTGAGTGGATGAGTGACTGAGTGCGTGGCTGAGCGAGTGAGTGGATGAGCGAGTCACTGGATGAGTGCGTGGATGAGTGACTGAGTGCATGGCTGAGCGAGTGAGTGGATGAGCGAGTCACTGGATGAGTGAGTGGATGAGTGACTGAGTGCGTGGCTGAGCGAGTGAGTGGATGAGCGAGTCACTGGATGAGTGAGTGGATGAGTGACTGAGTGCGTGGCTGAGCGAGTGAGTGGATGAGCGGGTCACTGGATGAGTGAGTGGATGAGTGACTGAGTGCGTGGCTGAGCGAGTGAGTGGATGAGCGAGTCACTGGATGAGTGAGTGGATGAGTGACTGAGTGCGTGGCTGAGCGAGTGAGTGGATGAGCGAGTCACTGGATGAGTGCGTGGATGAGTGACTGAGTGCATGGCTGAGCGAGTGAGTGGATGAGCGAGTCACTGGATGAGTGAGTGGATGAGTGACTGAGTGCGTGGCTGAGCGAGTGAGTGGATGAGCGAGTCACTGGATGAGTGAGTGGATGAGTGACTGAGTGCGTGGCTGAGCGAGTGAGTGGATGAGCGGGTCACTGGATGAGTGAGTGGATGAGTGACTGAGTACGTGGCTGAGCGAGTGAGTGGATGAGCGAGTCACTGGATGAGTGAGTGGATGAGTGACTGAGTGCGTGGCTGAGCGAGTGAGTGAGTGACTGAGTGTGTGGCTGAGCGAGCGAGTGACTGAGCGAGCGAGTGGATGAATGAGTCACTGGATGAGTGAGTCTCCGAGCTGCTACCGCCGCAAGACACTCACACTCCCCCCCCCACCCCGTCCAGGAGTCGAACCTTCGAGCTCCGCCAGGAGGCTCAGTGCCTCCGTGCGTGGATGAGTGAGCGAGTGAGTGGCTGAGTACGTGACTGAGCGAGTGAGTGGATGAGCGAGTGAGTGGCTGAGTGAGTAGCTGAGTGACTGAGTGAGTGAGTGGCTGAGTGAGTGGCTGCGTGGATGAGTGCGTGACTGAGCGAGTCAGTGAGTGACTGAGTGCGTGGCTGAGCGAGTGAGTGATTGAGTGCGTGACTGAGCGAGTGAGTGCATGGCTGAGCGAGTGAGTGGATGAGCGAGTCACTGGATGAGTGAGTGGATGAGTGACTGAGTGCGTGGCTGAGCGAGTGAGTGGATGAGCGAGTCACTGGATGAGTGCGTGGATGAGTGACTGAGTGCATGGCTGAGCGAGTGAGTGGATGAGCGAGTCACTGGATGAGTGAGTGGATGAGTGACTGAGTGCGTGGCTGAGCGAGTGAGTGGATGAGCGAGTCACTGGATGAGTGAGTGGATGAGTGACTGAGTGCGTGGCTGAGCGAGTGAGTGGATGAGCGAGTCACTGGATGAGTGCGTGGATGAGTGACTGAGTGCATGGCTGAGCGAGTGAGTGGATGAGCGAGTCACTGGATGAGTGAGTGGATGAGTGACTGAGTGCGTGGCTGAGCGAGTGAGTGGATGAGCGAGTCACTGGATGAGTGAGTGGATGAGTGACTGAGTGCGTGGCTGAGCGAGTGAGTGGATGAGCGGGTCACTGGATGAGTGAGTGGATGAGTGGGTCACTGGATGAGTGAGTGGATGAGTGACTGAGTGCGTGGCTGAGCGAGTGAGTGGATGAGCGAGTCACTGGATGAGTGAGTGGATGAGTGACTGAGTGCGTGGCTGAGCGAGTGAGTGAGTGACTGAGTGTGTGGCTGAGCGAGCGAGTGACTGAGCGAGCGAGTGGATGAATGAGTCACTGGATGAGTGAGTCTCCGAGCTGCTACCGCCGCAAGACACTCACACTCCCCCCCCCACCCCGTCCAGGAGTCGAACCTTCGAGCTCCGCCAGGAGGCTCAGTGCCTCCGTGCGTGGATGAGTGAGCGAGTGAGTGGCTGAGTGCGTGACTGAGCGAGTGAGTGGATGAGCGAGTGAGTGGCTGAGTGAGTAGCTGAGTGACTGAGTGAGTGAGTGGCTGAGTGAGTGGCTGCGTGGATGAGTGCGTGACTGAGCGAGTCAGTGAGTGACTGAGTGCGTGGCTGAGCGAGTGAGTGATTGAGTGCGTGACTGAGCGAGTGAGTGCATGGCTGAGCGAGTGAGTGGATGAGCGAGTCACTGGATGAGTGAGTGGATGAGTGACTGAGTGCGTGGCTGAGCGAGTGAGTGGATGAGCGAGTCACTGGATGAGTGCGTGGATGAGTGACTGAGTGCATGGCTGAGCGAGTGAGTGGATGAGCGAGTCACTGGATGAGTGAGTGGATGAGTGACTGAGTGCGTGGCTGAGCGAGTGAGTGGATGAGCGAGTCACTGGATGAGTGAGTGGATGAGTGACTGAGTGCGTGGCTGAGCGAGTGAGTGGATGAGCGAGTCACTGGATGAGTGCGTGGATGAGTGACTGAGTGCATGGCTGAGCGAGTGAGTGGATGAGCGAGTCACTGGATGAGTGAGTGGATGAGTGACTGAGTGCGTGGCTGAGCGAGTGAGTGGATGAGCGAGTCACTGGATGAGTGAGTGGATGAGTGACTGAGTGCGTGGCTGAGCGAGTGAGTGGATGAGCGGGTCACTGGATGAGTGAGTGGATGAGTGGGTCACTGGATGAGTGAGTGGATGAGTGACTGAGTGCGTGGCTGAGCGAGTGAGTGGATGAGCGAGTCACTGGATGAGTGAGTGGATGAGTGACTGAGTGCGTGGCTGAGCGAGTGAGTGAGTGACTGAGTGTGTGGCTGAGCGAGCGAGTGACTGAGCGAGCGAGTGGATGAATGAGTCACTGGATGAGTGAGTCTCCGAGCTGCTACCGCCGCAAGACACTCACACTCCCCCCCCCCACCCCGTCCAGGAGTCGAACCTTCGAGCTCCGCCAGGAGGCTCAGTGCCTCCGTGCGTGGATGAGTGAGCGAGTGAGTGGCTGAGTGCGTGACTGAGCGAGTGAGTGGATGAGCGAGTGAGTGGCTGAGTGAGTAGCTGAGTGACTGAGTGAGTGAGTGGCTGAGTGAGTGGCTGCGTGGATGAGTGCGTGACTGAGCGAGTCAGTGAGTGACTGAGTGCGTGGCTGAGCGAGTGAGTGATTGAGTGCGTGACTGAGCGAGTGAGTGGATGAGCGAGCGAGTGAGTGGATGAGTGAGTCACTGGATGAGTGAGTCTCTGAGCTGCTACCGCTGCAAGACACTCACACTCCCCCTCCACCCACCCCCACCCCGTCCGGGAGTCGAACCTTCAATCTCCGCGCCTCCGTCCTGCGCGACTGAGTGACTGAGTGAGTGACTGAGCGAGTGAGTGGATGAGTGACTCAATGCGTGGATGAGCGAGTGGATGAGCGAGTGGATGAGCGAGTGGATGAGCGAGTGAGTGCATGAGTGAGTGGATGAGTGAGTGAGTGAGTGGATGAGTGCGTGGCTGAGTGAGTGAGTGGGTGAGTGGATGAGTGAGTGGATGAGCGAGTGAGTGGATGAGTGAGTGAGTGAGTGGATGAGTGCGTGGCTGAGTGAGTGAGTGGCTGAGTGAGTGAGTGGATGAGTGAGTGGATGAGTGAGTGAGTGGATGAGTGACCGAGTGCGTGACTGACTGAGTGGATGAGCGAGTGAGTGGATGAGTGCGTGGCTGAGCGAGTCAGTGAGTGACTGAGTGTGTGACTGAGCGAGTGAGTGGATGAGCGAGTGAGTGACTGAGTGCGTGGATGAGTGACTCAGTGCGTGGATGAGCGAGTGAGTGACTGAGCGAGCGAGTGGATGAGTGAGTGAGTGGATAAGTGAGTGGATGACTGAGCGAGCGAGTGGATGAGTGAGTGAGTGGATAAGTGAGTGGATGACTGACTGAGCGAGTGGATGAGTGAGTGGATGAGTGAGTGGATGACTGACTGAGCGAGTGGATGAGTGAGTCACTGGATGAGTGAGTCTCCGAGCGAGCGAGCGAGCGACCGACTGGCCACTGCTGCCGTAAGACACTCACACTCCACCACCCCCTCACACACCACCACCCCCCACCACCCCCCACCACCCCCCACCACCCCCCCACCCCGTCAAACCTTCGAGCTCTGCCAGGAGGCTCAGAGCCTCCGTCCTGCGCGACTCCACGCGGCTTCCCTTGAGAGCCGCCTCGTCAAGTCCGTGCTGCTCAAAGTAGCGGTCCCGGAACGCGAACAGAGTCTCCACCACCTCCTGCCACACAGACAAAGGTCCCCCGTGTAGCCTCGCACAGACTAGGGGCAAGTGCCGAGTAGCAGTGTCTATAGACACACAGACAAAGGTCCCCCGTGTAGCCTCGTACAGACTAGGGGCAAGTGCCGAGTAGCAGTGTCTATAGACACACAGACAAAGGTGTCCCGTGTAGCCTCGGACAGACTAGGGGCAAGTGCTGTGAGTAGCAGTGTCTATAGACACACAGACAAAGGTGTCCCGTGTAGCCTCGCACAGACTAGGGGCAAGTGCTGTGAGTAGCAGTGTCTATAGACACACAGACAAAGGTCCCCCGTGTAGCCTCGGACAGACTAGGGGCAAGTGCTGTGAGTAGCAGTGTCTATAGACACACAGACAAAGGTGTCCCGTGTAGCCTCGGACAGACTAGGGGCAAGTGCCGAGTAGCAGTGTCTATAGACACACAGACAAAGGTGTCCCGTGTAGCCTCGTACAGACTAGGGGCAAGTGCCGAGTAGCAGTGTCTATAGACACACAGACAAAGGTGTCCCGTGTAGCCTCGGACAGACTAGGGGCAAGTGCTGTGAGTAGCAGTGTCTATAGACACACAGACAAAGGTGTCCCGTGTAGCCTCGGACAGACTAGGGGCAAGTGCTGTGAGTAGCAGTGTCTATAGACACACAGACAAAGGTGTCCCGTGTAGCCTCGGACAGACTAGGGGCAAGTGCTGTGAGTAGCAGTGTCTATAGACACACAGACAAAGGTGTCCCGTGTAGCCTCGGACAGACTAGGGGCAAGTGCTGTGAGTAGCAGTGTCTATAGACACACAGACAAAGGTGTCCCGTGTAGCCTCGGACAGACTAGGGGCAAGTGCTGTGAGTAGCAGTGTCTATAGACACACAGACAAAGGTGTCCCGTGTAGCCTCGGACAGACTAGGGGCAAGTGCTGTGAGTAGCAGTGTCTATAGACACACAGACAAAGGTGTCCCGTGTAGCCTCGGACAGACTAGGGGCAAGTGCTGTGAGTAGCAGTGTCTATAGACACACAGACAAAGGTGTCCCGTGTAGCCTCGCACAGACTAGGGGCAAGTGTCTATAGACACACAGGCAAAGGTGTCCCGTGTAGCCTCGGACAGACTAGGGGCAAGTGTCTATAGACACACAGACAAAGGTGTCCCGTGTAGCCTCGCACAGACTGTAGGGGCAAGTGTCTATAGACACACAGGCAAAGCTCCCCCGTGTAGCCTCTAGCAGGGCTGTAGGGGCAAGTGCTGTGAGTAGCAGTGTCTATAGACACACAGGCAAAGATCCCCCGTGTAGCCCACACAGAGGGTAGGGACAAGTGTCTATAGACACACAGGCAAAGGTCCCCCATGTAGCCTCTAGCAGGGCTGTAGGGGCAAGTGCTGTGAGTAGCAGTGTCTATAGACACACAGACAAAGGTGTCCCGTGTAGCCTCTCGCAGGACAGTGGCTCACTGTGGCTCTTTGCATCGCAGACTTCTCCCCAGCGGCGGCGGCGTCGCCCATGGCAACCGCGGCGGCGGCGTTGCCCGTAGCAACCGCGGCGGCGTTGCCCGTAGCAACCGCGGCGGCGTTGCCCGTAGCAACCGCGGCGGCGATGGTCGTTGCCGCCATCGTTGTCACGGGAGAACGGAAGTGACGTTTTGCGTGGGTAACGGAAGTGGGTACGTGACGTCACGCGGCAGGTAGCTGAGATGTTATGACGTCACGGCAACCGGCGTTGGCCGTTGGGTCACGGGTGGTGGTGGTTGGGGGTAAGGCGGAAGTGACGTTGCTGGGGAAACGGAAGTGGGTACGTGACGTCACGCGGCAGGCAGTTGAGATGTTATGACGTCACGGCAACCGGCGTTGGCCGTTGGGTCACGGGTGGTGGTGGTGGTTGGGGGGGGGGTAAGGCGGAAGTGACGTTAACTGGGGAAACGGAAGTGGGGGAGTGACGTCACGCAGCGGCAACAAGACACTGGCGTCATGGCAACGGCCGTTGGGTCACGGGCGGTGGTGGCTGGGGGGGGGGTAAGGCGGAAGTGACGTTGGCTGGGGAAACGGAAGTAGGGACGTGACGTCACGCAGCAGGCAATCAAAAATGTGATGTCATCATAGCAACGGCGTCGGCCGTTGTTGTCATGGGCAATGGTGGTGGTGATTGGGGGGGGTAAGGCGGAAATGACGTCAACTTGCGAAACGGAAGTGGGGGCGTGACGTCACGCAGCGGCAATTAAAACAGTGGTGGAGGGGGGGTCATAGGGGGGGGCGGGGGGGTCACGTGGGGGGGGGGCGGGGGGGTCACGTGGGGGGGGGGCGGGGGGGTCACGTGGGGGGGGGGCGGGGGGGTTACGTGGGGGGGGGCGGGGGGGTCACGTGGGGGGGGGGCGGGGGGGTCACGGGGGGGGGCGGGGGGGTCACGGGGGGGGGGGGCGGGGGGGTCACGGGGGGGGGGCGGGGGGGTCACGGGGGGGTCACGGGGGGTGGGCAGGGGGGCGAACGTGACGTCATCGCGCACTCCTCTCGACCGGAAGTTGGTGACGTGACGTCACGGCGGCGTGAGGGAACACGGCCGGGCGAGGACGGAAGTGACGTCGCCACCGGAAGGAGGTGAAATCAGCGCCTGCCCAACAGCCTCGCACGTGGTGGTGGTGGTGGTGCTGTTGGTGGTGGTGGTGGTAGCCTTGGTGGTGCTGGTGGTGCTGTGTGTTGGTGTTGCTGGTGGTGTTGTTGCTGGTGGTGGTGGCGGCGCTGTTGCTTTCCCCACGCGGGCCGAGCGCCATGGTGGTCACGCGCGCGCAGTCGCGTGGAGGAGATGGAGCAGCAGGAGGTGGAGCAGCAGCAGCAGCAGCAGCAGGAGGAGTTGAAGTCGTGGCGGCGGAGACGCCGTCTCGCCACCAGGCGAGTCGAGAGCGTGAATTCGGTGGTTTTTGTGTGCGCGTGCGTACTGTACGTACAGTGCAAGCGACATGTACTGTACGTACAGTGCAAGCGGCGTGCACTGTACGTACAGTGCGAGCGGCGTGTACTGTACGTACAGCGCAAGCGGCGTGCACTGTACGTACAGTGCGAGCGGCGTGCACTGTACGTACAGTGCGAGCGGCGTGTACTGTACGTACAGCGCAAGCGGCGTGTACTGTACGTACAGTGCGCGCTGCGGCCACTGCTCACGTCGCAAAGCGGTGCACTGTACGCGCCGTGCGGACAGTGAGTACTGTTCGTGCACACTGTGTACTGTATGTGCTTGCACTGTGTGTGTGTGTATAGTAGTGTATAGTGTAGTGAATAGTAGTGTATAGTGTGGTGTATAGTGTAGTGTATAGTAGTGTAGTGTATAGTGTAGTGTATAGTGTAGTGTATAGTGTGTATAGAGTAGTGTATAGTGTAGTGTATAGTGTAGTGTATAGTGTAGTGTATAGTAGTGTATAGTGTAGTGTATAGTGTAGTGTATAGTGTGTATAGAGTAGTGTATAGTGTAGTGTATAGTGTAGTGTATAGTGTAGTGTATAGTGTAGTGTATAGTAGTGTATAGTGTAGTGTATAGAGTAGTGTATAGTGTAGTGTATAGTGTAGTGTATAGTGTGTATAGAGTAGTGTATAGTGTAGTGCAGGGGTCGGCAACCTACGGCTCCGGAGCCGCACGCGGCTCTTTACGGGCTGCTTCTTGACGATGAGTACGTATGTACAGTATGTACTCAGATGCATTGCGGCTCTTGAAATACTGAATTTTGTACCGAATTGGAAAGAAATGGCTCTTCTTGTTATTTTGGTTGCCGACCCCTGGTGTAGTGTATAGTGTAGTGTATAGTAGTGTAGTGTGTATAGTGTAGTGTATAGTGTAGTGTGTATAGTAGTGTAGTGTGTATATTAGTGTAGTGTGTATAGTGTAGTGTGTATAGTAGTGTAGTGTATAGTGGTGTAGTGTGTATAGTAGTGTAGTGTATAGTGGTGTAGTGTGTATAGTGTAGTGTGTATAGTAGTGTAGTGTGTATAGTAGTGTAGTGTATAGTGTAGTGTGTATAGTAGTGTAGTGTGTATAGTGTAGTGTATAGTGTAGTGTGTATAGTAGTGTAGTATGTATAGTAGTGTAGTGTATAGTGCAGTGTATAGTAGTGTAGTGTGTATAGTAGTGTAGTGTGTATATTAGTGTAGTGTGTATAGTGTATAGTAGTGTATTGTATAGTGTAGTGTGTATAGTAGTGTAGTGTATAGTGGTGTAGTGTGTATAGTGTAGTGTGTATAGTAGTGTAGTGTGTATAGGGTATTGCAAAGGCTGCAGTAAAAGGTTAAGAACCACCGGTGTATAGTAAAGTGTGTAGTGTAAAATGTGTAGTATGTAAGAGTGTAGTGTGTAGTGGATGAATGAGTGGGTGAGTGTGTGGATGAGTGAGTGATTGTGTGGATGAGTGAGTGATTGTGTGGATGAGTGAGTGAGTGGGTGGATGAGTGAGTGAGTGGGTGGATGAGTGAGCGAGTGAGCGGACGAGCGAGCGGACGAGCGAGTGAGTGGACGAGTGAGTGAGTGGGTGAGTGAGCGGATGAGTGATTGAACGAGTGTGGTGAGTGGATGAGTGAGTGAGTGGGTGGGTGAGTGGACGAGTGAGTGGGTGAGTGGACGGGTGAGTGGGCGAGTGAGTGGGCGAGTGAGTGGATGAGTAGACGAGTGAGTGAGCGGGCGAGTGAGTGAGCGGGCGAGTGAGTGGGCGAGTGAGTGAGCGGGCGAATGAGTGGACGAGTGAGTGGACGAGTGAATGAGCGGGCGAGCGAGTGAGCGAGCGGGTCAGTGAGTGGACGAGTGGGTGAGTGGACGGGTGAGCTAGTGAATAGACGAGTGAGCGAGTGAGTGAGTGGACGAGTGAGTGAGTGGGCGAGTGAGTAGACGAGTGGACGAGTGAGTGATTAGACGAGTGAGCGAGCGGGTGAGTGAGTGGACGAGTGAGCGAGCGGACAGGTGAGCTAGTGGACGGGCGAGCGAGTGGGAGATGGGGTACACCTCCACGCCAGTTAACCCTCCCCCCCTTCCCCATTGTTCCACTCACCGCAGTTGTCCCCCCGTGCCGACCGAGCTGCTTTGGAAGCGGTGGAGGTGAGGGAGGTGAGCAGGGAGGTAAGCAGGGTGGTGAGCAGGGAGGTGAGCAAGGTGGTGAACAGGGTGGTGAGCAGGGTGGTGAACAGGGTGGTGAGCAGGGTGGTGAACAGGGGGGTGAACAGGGGGGTGAACAGGCGGGTGAGCAGCAAGACGGCGGCAAAGCTCAAAGCCAAGAAACTCCCGGCGAGGACGAAGCCGTCGGAGCCCCTCGGAGCCCGCGACGATGATGACGACGACGGTGATGACGGTGATGATGATGATGGTGATGATGATGGTGATGATGATGATGACGATGATGGCGACGATGGTGAGGAGGTGGAGGAGGTGCAGATGAAGACATCGCGGCCGAAGGTCGGGACGTGGAAGGTCAAGAGTTTTAAGGTCAAGGGTGACGATGACGACGACGATGGTGATGACGATGATGATGATGGTGACGATGGTGACGACGGTGAGGGGGTGGAGGAGGTGCAAAGGAAGACATCGCAGCCGAAGGTTGTGACGCGGAAGGTCAAGAGTTTGAAGGTCAAGGGTGACGACGGTGACGATGATGGTGATGACGACGATGATGATGACGGTGACGATGATGATGGTGATGATGGTGATGATGGTGACGATGGTGATGACGGTGAGGGGGTGGAGGAGGTGCAGAGGAAGACATCGCGGCCGAAGGTTGGGACGTGGAAGAAGGCCAAGGGCTTGAAGGTCAAGGGTGACGATGATGACGACGATGACGTTGACAACGATGACAGTGATGACGACGACGATGATGATGGTGGTGAGGGGGTGGAGGAGGTGCAGAGGAAGACATCGCGGAAGCAGGTCAAGGGCTTGAAGGTCAAGGGTGACGATGATGACGATGACGACGTTGACGACGATGACGATTATGACGACGTCGATGATAACGACGATGACGACGATGACGACATGGACCTCACCTCATCGGAGGCCGCAGTTGCCACCGCCCCCGCCGCCGGCGCCCCCGACGGCCGCCAGGAGGAGCTTGTCGACACGGAGCCGGCGGCGTTCATCATCGACCGCACGCCCGGCCACGGCGGCGGCGGCCATGGCGGTGACGTCACCGAGGAGGAGGGGGTGGGGGGGCAGAGGGGGGTGGAGGAGGAGGTGAGGAGGCTGCTGAGGGAGAGGGCGGCCTTCTTGAGCACGGGGATGAAGAAAAAGAAGAAGAAGATCAAGGAGCAGAGGTGAGGGGGGGGAAGTGGGGAGGAGGGGGGAGGAGGAGGGGGGGGAGGAGAGGGAGGGGGGAGGGAAGTGGGGAGGGGGGGATGGGGGGGGGGAGGGGGAGGGGGGGGGAGGGGGGGGAGGGAGGAGGGGGGAAGGAGCAGAGGTGAGGTGGTGGGGAGGGGGGAGGAGGGGGAGGAGGGGGGGAGAAGGGAGGGGAGGAGGGTGGGGGGGAGGGACGGGAGGGGGGAGAGGGAGGAGGAGGGGGGATGAAGGGGGGGGCAGGAGGAGGGGGGAGGGGAGGAGGGTGGGGAGAAGGGAGGAGGGGGGAGGGGAGGAGGAGGGAGGGGAGGAGTAGGGGAAGGGGAGGGGGGGGCAGGAGGAGAGAGGAGGAGGGAGGGGGGGGGGAGGGGGGGAAGAGAAGGGGGGGGAGGAGGAGGGGGCGGAGGAGGAGGGGGGCGGAGGAGGAGGGAGGGGGGAGGTGCTTCTCACTGCGAGCAGCACTTGCCCCAACAGTTTGTCACAGGCTACACGGGGGATCTTTGTCTGTGTCTGTTCGTAGTCTGGACCCTGGCGTGGAGCTCTTGAAGTACGGAGGATCCTACCTGGGGGCAGCCTCCAGCCAACACAGAGTGGGCCCGGCACTCACAGACTCGGTGAGTGTGTTCGTGTGTGTGTCTGTGTGTGTCTCTGTGTGTGTGTCTGTGTGTGTCTCTGTCTCTGTGTGTGTGTCTCTCTGTGTGTGTGTCTCTCTGTGTGTGTCCGTGTGTGTGTGTCTCTGTGTGTGTGTCTGTGTGTCTGTCTGTGTGTCTGTCTGCGTGTGTGTGTCTGTGTGTGTGTGTGTATGTCTGTGTGTGTGTGTCTGTCTGTCTGTGTCTCTGTGTGTGTCCCTGTGTCTGTGTGTGTGTCCCTGTGTGTGTGTCTGTCTGTGTGTGTGTGTCTGTGTGTGTGTGTTTCTGTCTCGCGGTGCCGGACGGGCAACACTGTCATGGGCAGTGCTGTGGGGGGAGGGCCATTGGCCTCTCCCCTCATGGCGTCTGTGACCACCACAGCGGCTAAATGGGGGCTCTGGACGGGTGCGAGGGGTTGGTAACCCCTCCACCTTCAATTAATTACCACTAAACTACGATATAAACAAAAACCTGTAACTAATAAGCTTGTGCCGGAGGCCCCGGGGGGTCAGACTTTTATGACGTCTCCTGGCCAAACCCCATTTGGCGGAGCCAGGAGATTGAATCTTCACCCTCGGGGCTCCTCCAGAAACAACGAAAAACCATTGCGGATGGCCACGTGGAATGTTCGAACGCTCACTGTGGAGGAGAGGCTGCCACTCCTCTGTCGGGAGCTGGACCGGTACCGCCTGGATCTCTGTGGCATTCAGGAGGTTCGGTGGACCGGCTCTGGCTCTTGCCACGATGAGGGGTGGACAGTCCTCCACTCGGGGCAGGAGACTGCCAAACAACAGGGTGTGGCTCTTCTTCTGAACAAAAGAATGAAGGGGGCGTGGGAGCGTGGCGGTGAGGTGTGGGAAGCTGTAAGCCCCAGGATACTTTGGGCTCGCCTTCCCAGGGTTCAGTAGGAGGCTCACTGAGCCAGACTGAGGCTCCCACAGGGTTCAGTAGGAGCCAGACTGAGCCAGATTGAGGCTCCCACAGGGTTGAGTAGGAGGCTCACTGAGCCAGACTGAGGCTCACTGAGCCAGACTGAGGCTCACTGAGCCAGACTGAGGCTCACTGAGCCAGACTGAGGCTCACTGAGCCAGACTGAGGCTCGCTGTCCCTGCAGTTGCTGTCTCACAGCATCTTGGCCGTCGGAGTGGAGAAGCATCCGTCGCTGCCGATGGCGGCCGGGGAGCGGCAAGCGAAGAAGAAGCGGAGGGTGAGCACACGCACACCTACACCTACACACGCACACCTACACATACACACACACACGCACACCTACACACGCACACCTACACCTACACACGCACACCTACACACGCACACCTACACACGCACACCTACACACGCACACCTACACACGCACACCTACACACGCACACCTACACACGCACACCTACACACGCACACCTACACTACACCGCACACCTACACACGCACACCTACACACGCACACCTACACACGCACACCTACACACGCACACCTACACACGCACACCTACACACGCACACCTACACCTACACACGCACCCTACACCTACACACACACACGCACACCTACACACGCACACCTACACACGCACACCTACACCTACACACACCTACACATACACACGCACACCTACACATACACACGCACACACACACACCTACACCTACACACACGCCTACACACACGCACACCTACACCTACACACACCTACACATACACACACACACCTACACACGCACACCTACACACGCACACCTACACACGCACACCTACACACGCACACCTACATACACACGCACACCTACACCTACACACGCACACCTACACATACATATACACACACCTACACACACACCTACACACACCTACACACACCTACACACACCTACACACACCTACACACACATACACACACATACACACACATACACACACATACACACACATACACACACACACGCACACCTACACCTACACACGCACACACACATACACACACGCACACCTACACACATACCCACACACACACCTACACACGCATACACACACATACACACACATACGCACACCTACACACCTACACACATACCCACACACACACCTACACACGCATACACACACATACACACACATACACACACGCACACCTACACATATACACACACACACACCTACACACGCATACACACACATACACACACATACACCTACACACATACACACACACACACATACACACGCATACACACACATACACACACATACACACACGCACACCTACACACCTACACACATACACACACACCTACACACGCATACACACACATACACACACATACACACACGCACACCTACACACATACACACACACACACCTACACACGCATACACACACATACACACACATACACACCTACACACGCACACCTACACACACCTACACACACCTACACACGCACACCTACACACGCCTACACACACCTACACACACCTACACACGCACACATACACACACGCATATATACATACATACACATACATACACACATATACATACATACACACATATATATATACATATATACACACACACATACACACCTACACACATACATACACACACACATACACAGATACATACACACACACACATACACACGCACACACGCACACACACAGATACACACACATACATACACACACGCACACACACACACACACGCACACACGCACAGATACACACCTACACACATACACGCACACAGATACACACACATATACACACACACGCACACACACACAGATACACACATACACACACACATACACACACAGTTACACAGTCATACACACGCACACATACACACACACACAGTCATACACACACACAGTTACACAGTCATACACACACAGTCATATACATACACACACACACACGCACAGATACATAGTTACACACATACACATACATATATACACACACACACCTACACACACACATACACACATACAGTCATACACATATATATATACATACACACACAGATACACACGCACACACACATATATACATATATACACACACATATATACATACATACACACGCACACATACACACGCACACACACACACGCACAGATACACACACGCACATACACACACATATATACATAGTTACACACATACACACGCACACACGCACAGATACACACATACACACACACACACACGCACATACAGTCATACATACATACACCTACACACACCTACAGTTACACACACACACACCTACACACCTACACACACACACAGTTACACATACATACACACACACACAGTTACACATACATACACACACACATACCCAGATACACACATCACATACAGTCAGACACACACACATACACACACACAGATACACACATACACACATACACAGTTACACACATACACACACACAGTTACACACATACATACACAGATACACATACACACACAGTTACACACGTACATATATACACATACACACACCTACACACACACACATACGCACACATACACACACATACACACACAGACATATACACACACACAGACACACGCACACAGTTACACACACACATACACACAGTCACACACATACACCTACACACACACACAGTCACACACACACCTACACACACACACCTACACACACACACACGTACACTTACACACGTGTGTATGCAGGTATGCGTGTAGGTGTACGTGTGTATGTAGGTATGGCCTGGCACAAGCGTCGTGGTGACGTCACCGCCACTTAGTGGCGAATGGCGGTTGTTGTTGTTGTTGTAGGTTTGCGTGTGATTGCGTGCGCACCCCAACTACGCCCCACTCATCTTCTTGGTTCTTTCGGTAAAGTCATCACGTAGAAGGGAAGTAATAAAATAATAAAAATAAAACATAATAAAATACAATTCTCACGACGTTTCGGCTACAACGCAAGCAGCCGTCCTCAGGTGAAGAACAGGTCTGTCGGGGAGACAGCGTCTGAATGAAACACCACCAGGCTTGGCAGCGTATTTTTAAGCTGGGTTGGACAAAGGAATTTGCATATCAACAGAGGAATTTTGCATGTTTATGGGAAATGCAGGTATGTGATTAGTACTACTTATGCCCGTGCATTATGCAGGATTAGCAGCATCAAAGGGAGGGGATATGGGAAATGCAGGTATGTGATTAGTACTACTTGTGCCCGTGCATTATGCAGGATTAGCAGCATCAAAGGGAGGGGATATGGGAAATGCAGGTATGTGATTAGTACTGCTTATGCCCGTGCATTATGCAGGATTAGCAGCATCAGAGGGAAGGGATATGGGAAATGCAGGTATGTGATTAGTACTGCTTATGCCCGTGCATTATGCAGGATTAGCAGCATCAGAGGGAGGGGATATGGGAAATGCAGGTGTGTGATTAGTACTACTTGTGCCCGTGCATTATGCAGGATTAGCAGCATCAAAGGGAGGGGATATGGGAAATGCAGATATGTGATTAGTACTACTTATGCCCGTGCATTATGCAGGATTAGCAGCATCAGAGGGAGGGGATATGGGAAATGCAGGTATGTGATTAGTACTGCTTATGCCCGTGCATTATGCAGGATTAGCAGCATCAGAGGGAGGGGATATGGGAAATGCAGGTACGTGATTAGTACTGCTTATGCCCGTGCATTATGCAGGATTAGCAGCATCAAAGGGAGGGGATATGGGAAATGCAGATATGTGATTAGTACTACTTATGCCCGTGCATTATGCAGGATTAGCAGCATCAGAGGGAGGGGATATGGGAAATGCAGGTATGTGATTAGTACTGCTTATGCCCGTGCATTATGCAGGATTAGCAGCATCAGAGGGAGGGGATATGGGAAATGCAGGTACGTGATTAGTACTGCTTATGCCCGTGCATTATGCAGGATTAGCAGCATCAGAGGGAGGGGATATGGGAAATGCAGGTATGTGATTAGTACTACTTATGCCCGTGCATTATGCAGGATTAGCAGCATCAAAGGGAGGGGATAGGGGTAGCATTAACAAAGGGAAGAAGTGTTAATAGTATGTAGCTGCAGTAACTAAAACCATCACGTAAACAACTAAAGTATAAACTACATAGTATCATCAGTATACTAAATATACTCTCCAATAAGCTGAGCTACTAACAGTAAGTAATACATTACAATTCTACGTCGCAAAAAATATAATATGCTTCCATCTAAACTTTATTCTCTTACATCACACGAGTCTACACCGTACTATATACTGCCACAGACAAACCCAACATTAAATTATATACTGCATTACTATACATTGTAATATTACACTATGTATTTTTCGGTTTAAAGGTTTCGTGACTGCAGGGATTCATCTTCTTGGTTCTTTCGGTAAAGTCACGTAGAAGGGAAATAATAAAATTATCAAAATAAAACATAAAATAATTCTCACGACGTTTCGGCTACAACGCAAGCAGCCGTCTTCAGGTGAAGAATGAGACACTGCCAAGCTCCTAGCTTGGCTAGCTTGGCTAGGAGCTTGGCAGTGTCTCATTCTTCACCTGAAGACGGCTGCTTGCGTTGTAGCCGAAACGTCGTGAGAATTATTTGATTTTATTATGTTTTATTTTTATTATTCTATTACTTCCCTTCTACGTGACTTTACCAAAAGAACCAAGAAGATGAACACTATGTATTTTTTTACCCACCCTACTGCATACCACACTGCTGTATATTCACTATACAATTACGATACTACATATTACCTTATACATTGTATTAAACATTACACTTTTATACTATTTATTATTTTACAATCTGCTATACAATATACCAAAGTACTAAGAGGAAGCAGCGAAATATGTCACTATACATTTCGATTTAAAGCTTCTTTCGTGACTGCAGGGATTCATCTTCTTGGTTCTTTCGGTAAAGTCACGTGACTATTTGCGGCAGTGGAAAAACACCACCGCTTGTAAACCGCGCTGGCCTGGTTCTGATGCAGCAGTGGAAAAACACCACCGCTTGTAACCGTGCTGGCCTGGTTCTATTTGGGGCAGTGGAAAAACACCACCGCTTGTAACCGTGCTGGTCTGGTTCTGATGCGGCAGTGGAAAAACACCACCGCTTGTAACCGTGCTGGCCTGGTTCTGATGCAGCAGTGGAAAAACACCACCGCTTGTAACCGTGCTGGCCTGGTTCTGATGCAGCAGTGGAAAAACACCACCCGCTTGTAACCGTGCTGGCCTGGTTCTATTTGGGGCAGTGGAAAAACACCACCCGCTTGTAACCGTGCTGGCCTGGTTCTGATGCAGCAGTGGAAAAACACCACCCGCTTGTAACCGTGCTGGCCTGGTTCTATTTGGGGCAGTGGAAAAACACCACCGCTTGTAACCGTGCTGGTCTGGTTCTGATGCGGCAGTGGAAAAACACCACCGCTTGTAACCGTGCTGGCCTGGTTCTGATGCAGCAGTGGAAAAACACCACCCGCTTGTAACCGTGCTGGCCTGGTTCTATTTGGGGCAGTGGAAAAACACCACCCGCTTGTAACCGTGCTGGCCTGGTTCTGATGCAGCAGTGGAAAAACACCACCCGCTTGTAACCGTGCTGGCCTGGTTCTATTTGGGGCAGTGGAAAAACACCACCCGCTTGTAACCGCGCTGGCCTGGTTCTGATGCAGCAGTGGAAAAACACCACCGCTTGTAACCGTGCTGGCCTGGTTCTATTTGGGGCAGTGGAAAAACACCACCCGCTTGTAAACCGTGCTGGCCTGGTTTGGATGAGGCAGTGGAAAAACACCACCCGCTTGTATACCGTGCTGGCCTGGTTCTATTTGGGGCAGTGGAAAAACACCACCCGCTTGTATACCATGCTGGCCTGGTTTGGATGAGGCAGTGGAAAAACACCACCCGCTTGTAACCGTGCTGGCCTGGTTCTGATGCAGCAGTGGAAAAACACCACCGCTTGTAACCGTGCTGGCCTGGTTCTGATGCAGCAGTGGAAAAACACCACCGCTTGTACCGTGCTGGCCTGGTTCTGATGCAGCAGTGGAAAAACACCACCCGCTTGTAACCGTGCTGGCCTGGTTCTATTTGGGGCAGTGGAAAAACACCACCGCTTGTAAACCGTGCTGGCCTGGTTCTGATGCGGCAGTGGAAAAAACACCACCGCTTGTAACCGTGTGGCCTGGTTCTATTTGGGGCAGTGGAAAAACACCACCGCTTGAAACCGTGCTGGCCTGGTTCTGATGCAGCAGTGGAAAAA